TTCATCCCCATAAATATGCAGACAGTAGTACAGATAGTAGTAGTACAATCTAGTACGGAAATCAACAAATATTTACACTCGTGACGATCAGTGCTGAGGATGGTCGTTACACAGAGACCCTAGATCGTTGATATTTGTGAACAAACTGCCAACCAAGGCATTTTGTATGAAACACAAAAAATAGAATACGCTGATTGAGATTTATTCTGACGGTTACACACAACAGAATTGGGTATAGTGACGTGTCGTGGATGAATCTATCAAATGTATTTGTTATCCCTTAAACATCATTTACACTCGTCTGTTGTATGATCTTGAAATGTATGTCTCTGTCAGATCAGTTAAATAGCTTTGTCCACAATCACTGTGCTTTGTCTGAGTCACATATTGAATTTTATCTTCTATTTGCACTCCTAAGATGAAACAAACATCGACAGATGACGATGCGATTTATCAACGTCAGTCGCATACAAATATTTTATTAATGAATTGTTGGACGGATACACACGGATCGGAGTATTATGGGTAAAATATAAGAAAATGTGTGATTTATAAAAAAAACGTGAAAAAAGTAACTACACGCTATCGGAGAATCCTCGGGGCAATTCTTTTAAAATAGTAACTAAACATTTTGCTCTGCTTCTTCTTCATTATTATGTAGGTCGTCTACAAATTAAATCACCTATATTCCCTTGAAATAAAATGAACGCCTGTTTTGATCGTTGCCATGGAAATACATGTATTTCTAAATTAAAATATCATCAATATAAATATGTCATACAAAGGCAATTCATTTTGAGATGATTTATGATACTATATGTGACATATGTGTTATGGCATTCCGAGCATTCTGCTTAATCGATGAGTTATTCCCACAATAGTAATATGTTTTCAGGGAAAGATCTTTTTTTTAAGATTCAATACGTTCTGTCATATAAATATGAATGCGCTTGGGATAGGAATTTCAGAGACAATTTCATATTGACAAAATTGAAAGGGTTTTCGTGCCAACAAGCCAAACAGGCTAGCACGAGAATTTTTTTATTTGTAGTCGCACGTGTGATACTGTAACACGGAAATGAAACATTGAGACACAAATAAAACATTAATATACTGATTTCGTAATAGTATTTCGAATTCGGTGTAGTACATGTTTGCTTTAGGGTTATTCGGAAATATCACATGCTGATAATAGTTAACAGCAAGCAATACAACGGGAAGTCTAACTACTTTCTAAAGCCAAGTGATGTAGCTTATGAAAATATTTAACACCTTAAATAATGAGGCGAATTTGCAAGTGAAGCACAAGTTAATGACATTAACCAAGTCATGACTTGTATGTATATACTTCAATGGCGAGTGTTTAACATTGTCTCCCTTGTTCGTTTCTTGGTTGTATATTTGTATATATGACATACATGCCTTAGACCTAGGAACAAGGGTGACTACACATTTCGAAAAGTCCTCCTTACGTTGAATACATTAGCAGTTAGTGGCAGCAACTGAGGTCCTGGAAGCAACGAACCGTTTAAATATCATCGGGGTCGCAATCATGACTGACAGCGTAACTAATTTACCCTCGCGTGCAATTAATTAAGGTGTGAAATGAACAACTCACCTTGGAGGCTTCTCTGAATTGTGTTATACGGGCGGCGTAGAGGATCGGGTTGACAAACGGGAGATGGTTTGAATGTCAGCGGATAAATTTATACTACAGACGGTGATATGGTCGACGGATCACCACAACTACGCAATAATGCAGTTAAACTATAATCACCGCTGTATTGACTTCGCTAGTTATTTTTATGATATGTAACGTATAAAGCGCGGGTTTGACTGAGTTTGTAATGTCGCAGGTTCTAGCCACACTAGCCACGGTACTATTGTCAACATGTATAAATATTGAGGTGCATGTCTCGTAATTACTTTGCTCCTAATTTCTATTTTTATCACAAGAAAAATACCTCCATTCACGACATTTCAGCAAGTGTGTTTAAAAAGCACCCTTGGAAGGTGAAAGTTGGTAAAACCAAAACTTTGAGAACCTAACACAGCTATTTCTATTTCTTGGCTAACGTACTCAAAACAACATCGAGTCCCAACTTGAAACAGAGCGCAGTCTGATACAGCCAAGTTCACGATAGATGTATTAGTGAGTGCTCACCCCAAAACTTTATTAAGTAAATACCTATAACCGATCATTTATTCTCAATGATACCTGACACGACAATGGAACCCAGCTGCGTCATCATTAAAATATAATATAATAAACCAATTCATGAAGATATCTGCCATTACCTTAGACACTAGTTCTTTTTTGAGTAATTATTTTTTTTTTAATTACAACATTCGTGTTTATTTTTATATCATCGGGTACTTTCTTACATAATATTATCAATATGAAATTATTATAAAACCTGCTTTAGTTTGCTTGTTTTTTTATCGAAATGATTACAACCGTCATAAATAGATGGCGCTGTTTCCGTTGAATCGCAACTTCACTGTCTGACAATATTATATAATTTTGATATGGAGTGTTTAGTGACATTTTATTGAAATGGAATTCATACAGAAACATATGTATTGGACTTGTCCAATTCATTACCGAGTTATATCGGTAATGTATTAAACTAATGACGTGGTGTAGTTCGCGCACTGTTAAGTTGCGATTCACAGAATAAGGAACAATGAGTAAACGCAAACGTAACACGGACTGTAATATTTGATAATACCTGTATATAGAACAAATAATATTATTTACTATATTTCCAAATGTACTGTCACATATGAAAAATGAGATATGCGATTTGTATAGACGTCTCCTAATATATCTTTGAGCTGAAATATTTTAACTTAAATACATATGTGATTGCGTGTATTAGATTGTGTCATTTTTGACTGATAATTTCTTTGTAATATTTGTATTTCCCCATTTATCAACGACATTCGTACGGCGTGATAACACGATATACTCGCAAGTCTAACTAATCTTTATGACGCGTGTTCCCATAGCAACTACGGTATATTCATAATGCATATGCAATAATATGTTAGATATGAGATTACAACATGCATACGCAGATAAGTAAACCACCCTTGGTCACTATTGTTCTGCCAATTCGTTTATTCATATCAATGTCCTTGGTTGGGAAACTATCGCAGTTTCATTTATATGGCGATCAATGCCACAATTGTATCGTTAGTATCATGTTGTTTGCGATTTGTAATAAACAAAAAACGTGTTATAAGGTTCGAAATACCTCTGCTGTTTCAGCAGAACAGAGTCTTGCAATGATAAGGGCAAGCAGTTACAAGTGACCTTGGCTTTGTTTACATTCTACTTAAAAGTCTGGACACACATGTCCAGATCTGATCACCGATAAGGATAAATTTAACATGATTCAAGTCCAGTGGATGAACCTCAAAATCGTACACCATTTAATAGCGTGACATGGCAGATCTTGAGGCATGAGGCTTTAAATTGCATAATAATATCGTATTTTTTTTAATTGGGTCGCTATTCGGGTCATAAAAATCTACCAACTTCAAAAATATCGTGTAATATATCATGGAAGATATGTTAATGTTAACCAATTTTAAAATAAAATCACTTACTTTTTGAGATATAGTTGCTTTTGTTATAAGTATAAAAGCAATATAGATATTTCCTCTGAGCCAAGCACACTAAGAATTGTAACTCGGATTATTTAGGCAACATTTTATTCCAACAAGTTACACTACATAATAATAAACTATAGTAATATTTCCATATTACAATACATGCTAACATATATATTTATGAAATAAAACAAATACAACCAGTGTCTTGACTGTGCGACTTCCGTTAACAAATGTATCTAATATTATCATATATATTGATATAATAAAACCATGTATAGCCCACACGATTCGAGTACTATTCAATTATTTTATTTTCTATTTTGTTCAATATCATAAGATAATGGAAGCTTGTTGACAACCTTTCTGACTGGAAAATTAGTAATTATCATACATCATATAGAAAATTACGAAAATGTAATCATAATATATCATTTCAATATATAACGCAATTCTTCACACGAGGCAAAAGTGAACACAAAACAAGACACGGAAAAACACAGAAACATGTTTTTGGTAAATGATTCAAACCAACGAATCAAATCTGGCAAGCCTAGTGGGGCACGATATAAAGCACACCCTCCATACAAAAAAAAAACTGCAAAGTCAGTCGGGGTCACCTGAACAGTGAATTGCACACAACACACAACGCTGCAACAAGCATACGTTCATGGAAAGCCGAAAAAATGTATCACGTCTCGGGAATAATATTGTCCATCAGAAACATGTACAATTATAAGGCTAATATAATGTTGGAATTTCACAAGTGATCATTGCGTTATAAAATTACGGTGTTTTGTGAACAACCATTAGGTTAGGATTACACTTGATTATTGACTGCCTTGTAATAAAAATATTTTATATACAATGTGGTTGCAATTGTACTATTCCCTTTTACAAAATAGGCAAATGTTCAACCAGTATAAAATCACAGAAAAAATGTGCTTTAGAACGAAAAGATGGGTCAGAAAGTATTCGAAAACATAATTAAACACCAATAACAAAAATATACCAGTATCACGCAATTATAGTATATTATAGTATATTATAGTTCAGTACACCTATATGTTGCTGAAAAGACAAAGGGTATTGTATTATCACTTTATATACATATAAATATAGGTTTCCTGGTAACTGCACCACTTTGTTCGAGAAATGGTGCATTTAAAGCGGGGAAGTTGTCACCTGCGCATACGTCAGACGGCTATAGCGTGCCATTGTTTACAGACATGCGTCTACCCATGACCCTTTGCGTTTTTAGCGTGTGTTGTTATTGTCACTTGGAACTCAATTCCCGCGCGTGCGCAGGTGACGACTCTCTTGCTTTAAATACTGTCAGTGGTACATACACATCAAATAGGACAATTGATGGTTGACAGATCCTATGATTTATCCTCATCCATAGTTGCGAGTTGGGCATTATTGAGACGATAATACACTCCCTGTCTGTTCAATAAATCTCCATGTTTGCCTTCCTCTACAATCTTTCCATTCTGTATAACCACAATCTTATCCGCTTCTTGAATCGTTGATAGACGATGAGCAATTACAATACATGTCCTTCCTTCACTAGCTCTGTCCAATGCATCTTGTACAATCTATTTGTGCAATACAAAGAAAATTTAATTTGTGAATTAAAATATATATAAACTGCATTCTTTGAGTCTTCGCACAGGGGTATTTTGAGCAATCAATAAACAATTAAAGAATGTGATATGTCTTTTATTTTACTCAGAGCGACGCATACACTCAATCCAAATAAAGTTCAATACATAGAACATGATGTAAGCAGTTAATAGCTATCATCTGCTAAAAACGAAAGCTCAAATCAATGTATATGTTGTATAGTAGTATTATTAAACATCCAATCCCTAATTTGTAAAGGAAATTTCCACTAGCACAAATTTACAAACAAATGATTCATAGATCAGTCTCCAGTGAAGTAACACAGACCCAATGACGTAATTATAATGTCTGATGTTTTAAAATAACCCAGCAAATTGTGCTTAATTGATGGCGACCGCCATTGACATCAACGACACAATCAAATCATTTGCACTTGAGTGGCAAGTTAAATTGAAATCATGTGTACAACAGATTCACCAATTTACCTTTTCGCTTTCAGTATCCAGAGCAGATGTAGCTTCATCTAATAACAGTATCTTTGGGTTTCTTACGAGAGCTCTTGCAATCGCTACTCTCTGTTTTTGACCTCCAGAGAGCTGGGTACCCTTCTCACCCACTCTAGTATCGTAACCCTGAATTGTACCAAATAAATTGTATGATATATTAAATGTTTTCATATAATTTCTAATTTAGTACATATATATTTTTTTTCTACATCAAAAATGTATACTAAGATGTTAAAAGAGAGTTCAGGGCGAATTCATATTACACATACATAACGCATATGCACGCTGTTAAAGTGACATTTCCACTTTGTAATTATGCAGAACACCTCCTTCTGATTAATTAATTAACTAATTATTGTGATCGCCACGAAAAATTAGTTTGGCAAATCAAGAAATATTGGAGCACTGAAGCTAATCTGGGCTGTAACTTTTTGTGATTAATTACCAAATCTATTATTGTTCTGATTATTCAAGGCAACTTTAATTTATTTTAGGAACGTCTTCTGAATTAATTTCAGTACTCTGTTGAAAAGGATTTCCCATGAACTAAAAACAATCCAAAGCACGTATAATGATTACAATGTTAACTGTTAGAGCGTTTCAACATTATCAGGAATCACATAAATAACAAAATTCCATTTGTGAAATTTTGTTTACAAGCGTCCTTTTATGTATTGTTGACTCGTACTGTTGAAAAAGTTAATTAGCAACTCGTGTTAGCTTCCACGTAATTTATAAAACAATAATAAAGATTGTCATGAGATGATAAGATATATCAGGGAATACTTGCCCAAGCTTTAGTGTCAATACATGTATTTGCTTTTCCAACCTATTTAAAATCAACTTGATGACTATTGAATATTTCAGAATAGCTAAAATCAACGTTTAAAATTTACTTGTAAAATTATACTTCTAATTTCATTAACCGAACATTGGAATAATCACTGGAACATAGACAGGTTGATGATGTCATACAAAGTACTGATGTTGGGAAATTTCCAGCCATCATGGTATATTATGCCTGTTTGCAAAGAATGTAGTTTGCGATTTTGTTTGTTAAAATGTATGCAAGCGCAAATATATAATACTGACCAATGGCAGTGATTGTACAAAGCCATGTATATTTGCATCTTTTGCAGCTTGTATTATTTCATTCATGGGCACTTCTCTGGAATTATCACCATACGCGATGTTATCTTTAATTGTACGGTCAAACAATATTGGTTCTTGTGAAACGATTCCTAACTGTTGTCGCAACGACTGGATATTTAAATCTTTGAGATCATTACCATCAAGTGCCTGGAAAAGATTGTTAATACAACCATTCAATTATTATGTGGGTACTTGTGTCAAGTTTAACATTTTTAATTCACACAACTTTTTACACAATATGCAGAAAGATTTACGTTTTAAATAGGAAGAATTAGGCACTCACACCTGAAGATAACAAAGGCAGTGTGCTGATGGTATTAAATATACATATTTATTTCCTGGTTGATGAGGATGTATTATATGATGTTATAGTGTGCCAGGCTATACTTAGATTTATTGGTTTTGTTAATATTAATTTCCGCCTTCCTTTGTTCAAAATGCAGATAACCTACTGGTGTATATTGATGAGTACAGTATACCCTAATAACAAGCGATTTTTGAAACGATCTTCATCTCCAGAACTAGTGATTTTTTACCTCAAATTGTGTACACACATTTTTCAGTAACTGGCTAGTGTATACAATAATACATAAATTTGGTTAAACTATTTTGTAACCTTGACAAATATGAAGATAGTAATTTGCCAGAGATCTTTTGCAAATATGTGCTCACTAATTAAAAAGAAAATACTTGTTGTCGTACTAATAACCATTAATATCCTTTTGCAACATAGATCAACAGCCTGTTATTTGTATGCACATTTTTGCTGTTATATTTGATAATGTAAATAGGAAGGCCAGACTTTTATTATCATTTGTTTCGCGAACCCGCCGAATGAACAGGAGCCGAAAATGAAATAAAAATAAAATTTTATTTCAGCGTAATTTCTCGCACCCACCGACTTGTAAGCGCAAAAAAATGCTAAAAAATATTATTTTTATCTTAATTTTTTTACCGCCCGCCGCATAACAAATCCAAGTTGCATTTTCATGGGAGTATCATGATCAAAGTATGAAGTCTCGCGCAGATGAGAAACAAGGTTATACATGGAATAACATTTTATTTCATTTCCTAATTTTATTTTTGTTCCGCCCTCCTCAAAAAAATTGCCTTATAAAAACTCGAGAAACAAGGAATAAAAAAGTCTGGCCTAGGTAAATCACTTACCACACTGCCAGCAATGGTGTCGTAGAATCTTTCTGTAAGTTGCACAATTGTACTTTTCCCACAGCCGCTGCTACCTACCAATGCTACACGTTGTCCGGGGTTTACTTTAAGGTCGACTCCTCTAAGCACTGGTACGTCTGGTCTGGTTGGGTACCGGAATCGAACATCATGTAGTTCTAATTCCGAAATACATTTCTCCTGAAACAGCGAACAATATCAATATAAATTACCCGGACATATTAAACAGCTCTATTAAGCAGGTTTTTAAGTTGAGATTGTATCAATATATATTTAATTAATGTATACGTTATTCATTAAAAAAATATAAGAAGGTTCAAATGGTATTGCAGACAGTTCTCGAATTTGAGAAGGAAATTTTCATATTAGTTTCATCCTACATTAAAAGTACAAACTGTACAATAAACAAGCCAAGTGGCACAGTCCCCGTTAGTTATCGAATTTAAGATATATAGTTTTGTTTATAGTAATATAGCTGGAATATAACCATGTCAGGAATATGATTATGATGATTGTTTAACATTAAAATGATTGACTTTGGTATCTGATCTTCAAGCCAGTACTTGTCAATATTGAGATATATTGCTCGGGAACAGTATTAATTAAAACAAAATCAGCCATTTTGAATACATGTATATATCTATAACATGATGTATAATGAATATATAAAATTTGAACATATTCAGTCAAAGCATGTCAGAGATATTGCTCTAGAAGCCCACTCATTAAAACAAAATGGCCGCCAGTCAGCCATTTCGAATCCAATCTGAACAATAAAATTAGATGCACCAGGAACCTGTAATGTCTAATATATGTTATAAGTTTGGACAAAATCCATCCATAAATGCCAGAAATGCTTGATGATCTTTTTAGCACAAAAATGGCCACCATTCGGCCACTTTGAATAAGATCGTCAAACCAATATATCTGTATATCTATGACATTATGTATAATGAATATTAAAAATTTGAACATAATCAGTCAAAGCATGTCAGAGATATGGCTCTAGAAACCCATTCATTAAAACAAAATGGCCGACAGTCAGCCATTTTAAATCCAATCTAAATAATAAAATGACGTGCATCAGAAACCGTAATGTCTAATTTATGTACCAAGTGTGAACGAAATCTATCAATAAATGCCAGAAATGCTTGATATTTTATGCTTTTTAGCATGAAAATGGCCACCATTTGGCCATTTTTAATAGGATCATCAAACCAATATATCTGTATATCTAAATATTAAATAGTTCTATTAAAAGCTTCTGGATTTCCGTTTTGTGCTTGGGTGCTGTGTGTCATTCATTTAAGTCACTGAAACAATTAATCCCTTGAGGGCGCAACTTCACAATTTAAAATTATTATTAATTAACTTACTGGCTTTAGTCCCTCAGTACTACTAGTATCAATTTCTGATTCTCTATCCAGTAAAAAGAAAATTTGATTGGCAGCAACTTTTGCCTTTGCTGCATCAGGTGCGAAGGAACTAGCCTGGCCCACAGCCATCGCGCCAAATGTGATCAGCGCAAATACCCTGAAAATACAAAGAAACTCACTTTAAAATAATATATATATAAATATAACAGCCACAAATTAAAATGTCATAAATGGTGTGTACATTTGTGAGTATTAACATCACAAGGTGTTTACATAATGTTGTTTAATTTTATTCATGCTGTGGTACATACGTACAATTCATTATGGGCGAGATATTCTTATTGTGTATAATCCAAAACTAGAATGATCATAATGAAAACTAAAATCAATGTTTTTTTCTGAATGCTATATTGTAATTCAACTTCGATGATATATCACTGAAAAAAATGTATTATGAAGAAACAATAACATAATTATCATTTTCAATTACATATTTAATTCTTGACAACCCATTTTGTTTCTTTTTTGATATTCCAATGGCATTAAATGTAATAATGAAAACACAATCAAATGAAATAAACACTTCAAACATTCCATGTCATCCCCTATGTCATTACCTATGTTTTGTCATATAAAGCTGAAAATCCAAATTTTCATAAAAAGAAAATTATTTATAAATATTAAAAAATATTTTGTTTTTCATCAATTAGGACTTACAGAAAAACATCTTCAAATGTCATCTCTCCCTGCTCAATCATAAAAGCGCCAAATCGGAATGCAGCCGCATTCACCAGAAATGTAACACCTTGTGAGAATCCATACGTCAAACCATAAATATGAGCATTCTTGAGACCTCCTTCATAGGGTGCAAATAGGAAATCTGCGTATATTCTACTGAATCTACCTTCCACTGTAAGGGATGCGACTGTTCGGATATTTTCAACAGCTTCAGATGCAATCTACGAGTGAGAATTAGAGAAACATATATTTCATCCAGGGCACATCTTGAACCAGGGCACGTTACATCAGTACAGCATGCACATGTAACTGCATAGGCGATGACATGTTAGGTGCCATATTTTTTTTTAAAAAAAGCTGGCAAGATCCTCATCAATATGTGATTTGATTAAATTTAAGTGATTGACAATTATTTCTTCTATTAGAGGTCCCCTTACCTTTCCTGCACCTTGTAGTGAATCTTTGTCTTTATTCGCAAACCCTTTGAGGACGCTTGCATGTAAAAATCCAGCAACAACCAGCAGTGGACAACACAGCAACACCACTAACGTCATTTGCCAACCGAAGAAAAATGCAATGAAAATACCAATACCTAAACTGAAGAATGCCTGTACAACCATTGCTATATTTCTACCAGCAGCCTGCAATTATGAAAATTAACAAAATTATTAATATAGATTTAATTTAAAGTATAAAAAGCTGATTTGTTTAGTTCAATAATGATACTTTTAAATCATTATATTTTTCTCCAAATGAAATGGAACATTTAGATACACACTCTCCCAGTGTTCTACTGTAAGTCAACATATGATCCTGTACTCAATGAATTGTCAAATGTAGAAAAATAATTGTTTTTGTCATCTCAACAATATAATTGTTATCAAAACACACATTGGTCTCATCAACAATCGTTCTATAAAAATCCAAAAGTGCATGTGTATATGTCATTCTCAACTTCAGAACAACTTGTACCTATGTGGGTAATACTGGAATAATGAACCTAGCATGAACTGAAGGACACGGTGTTCATACGTATCAATGTTCTAATCCCCCAAGGACAGTATATCTAAATGACTTCTAATTTCAAACTCAGGGGCTGTTGAATAGGTTTTTCCAAGAACAGTACAAAATCCATATTCCTTAAGATGCTTACAGGGTCAGTAATATATTATCTACACGTCATTCAAAGTGTGAATGCAATTTTACGTTATAATCCAACATAAACTGATCTGTACCTACCCCTTGTACTGCAGATGCTTCTGAAGCCAGTTTTGTAGTGAGAGCACCGGTACTATTTTTTTGTTGATCAAACCATCCTATTTCCTTAAGTAATAACAAAGGAGCAATTTAGTATATTAACCATGTGGTTAGTCAAATGCTTCTAAATCTCTTACAATTTTCTTGATTCAATTATATAGTCTCTTTGTATCTTTTATCAGATAATGTTTAATCAGTGAATACAATGATTGTCGTTCGTACCTGTTTCAATATAGCAGTAAATGCTAAAAATCTCAATCTTAAAGTCAGCTCTTCGCCAGATTTACCAAACAGAGAAAACTGAAATTCAATCAATCACATTTATATATCACCAGTTGACTAACGTGTATCATTGGGAAAATTAAAGATCTCAGGATACTTGCAAAATAGGAAGCTGATTCCCGGTAGATAAAAAATAGTTTTCAGTTCATTTTAACAAAAATATTAATGAAGGCACTCAACTAACCTCGGCTATCATACTAAAGCATTGGATAACACCAAGAATAGCGAATGCAGCACACAGTGGAGCAGCTGCATCTAAGATTTCATCCTCAGGCAATGCGAAAACCTGCAAAAGAATATACTCAGATTGATAGTAATGAAAAGCGGACTGAGTTAGGGAGTGTTTTTATTGGCCGTATGTCACTGGAGAATGACAAGCAGTATTGTTTAATTTCTACGCAAAGGCAATTATTATAAACATCTAGTATATCTATGACACAACAGTCAAAAAGCATCAATCATCAAAACACTGTACTGAGAAGTTGGTATGCTCATGGTAGAAATGTTAATTCGTCAAAACATTCAAGTCAAGCTAATGTTTTTAAAATTAACCAGGCCAATTAACATTAAAATGCTGCAGAATATTTATTTAAATATCTAATTAATATAATAAATAAAACAATCACTTACTACTATGACTTTAGCAAACACAATGGCAAATGCTGGCTGACACGCACCGGTGATCGCAGCCGCAATAGTACCAAATAAAATGTATGGCCATTCAGGAGAATTCATTTTCATGATTCTTTTCATGCTAACTTCGGGAGCTTCATCAAGGTCACTGTCTCCCTGTCAAGGAATCAACGTTAAGTTAAACTAATTTGAATGCATAACAATTCGTATAAACAAACAACTACTCAGGACATTTGTTGTTTATGATCTTCCTCAATCACAGTTAGTGACATGTGCTGAAACAATGAGGAATATGCAAGGAAATATGGTGCCAAATAAATGATTTAGTATGGGTAAACTAAATATGTTGCAGCACTGAGTAAATAACACTTTCACTAAAGGTAACATCGGCTGTCATTCAGAATTATTCAAACTCTTTTTTTTCCCGTAGGTAATTATCATTGTTCTTAATCCCCCAAATAAACGACGGCAGCCCTTCATAAAACTATAGTAATGAACTTCATCAAAATAAAACTGCATGATTTGTTCAATCGTTTGTCAAAAACGATTATGACATTCAAGGAAAGATATTTTTTCTCATAAAAACGATAAAGAAATATCTAATATGTTCTATCAAACTGGCGAGGTTAAATGTACATAACCAACCTCGTTATCAGCTTCAGCATCAGACTTCTTGGAGGCGGATGATAATGCTCTCTTTAGTTTTCTGTCGGATCCCCTGGCAGATAAGGATCGTTTGAACGAGCCACTGCCACTCTTTAGAATGATTGCCTCATCTTCAAGATCTGAATGACAATCATTGGCATTTCAGTTATTTTGAATGTATGGATTGATATATGGATTTCAAGACATATCAAATGCATATATCATGTGCATGCTATTGATATGTTTTTTTTATCTATATATAAACATCGAGATGCAATATTCCTGGTTCGTAATGCAATATATATATGTGTGTGTGTGTGTACATCATACAATTGGTATGAATTGAAGGAAATACATCATAAATAATGTCTGCATGTTTGATGCTTTTCTTTTTGATAATTTTCTATCAGATTCCGACACACGTGAGTAACAGTGAATCAAATTTCTGCAAGCCACAGTAACCTTGCATTTCATTTGAGAAATTTGCACATATTGATACATGAATAATACAATAATATATAAGTCAAAAAACACAAATAAACCTCAAATTATCTAATTATCTTATTATCTAAGTCTAAACCATGCATTGGAGTTACAAAAAATAACAAAACATACATAACACTAAACCTGCTTGACATACACATGTATACCAACAACAAAACATACACAACACGCTACCACTTAAGATGTGACAGTACAATATCACATAACATTATCATAAGACACAATTGTTTTCATAATCATGATGACACTGACAGATAGATGGTTTGTCCATGCAATGCTGATTGTTCACTCACCACATTGTGGTTTATTCAGAATACATGCATCGTGTAAAATAGCTTAGAAAGAAATATACTTAATAATTAAAGACATTGACTCATAAGACCTTAATGATTAAAAACACACAAGTATGGAATCAAGTGAAATAGGGTGTGCCAACTTTATCTTAAAAATAAAATACTGACATAAAATTTAGGTATCATGTGAATACGTTGTTGCATGTTAATTGAGTTAACAATAAATGAAATAAGTAACATGTGAAAATAATCTACTAAGTAAAACCATTGATGCACTGAAGTATTGAATGAAAAGTGTCAAAAAACATTGGTATTTGTATTTAGAGCAAAACAATGAGATGAAAAGGAAAATTTGATAACAAGTCATTGACATGATGTAGTCCCTGTCGGAAAAGTAAATCAAGCTGAACCAGCCAGCCATTTCGAATCAGCTTATTGATTGGCAGGAAAGCCCGATTTCTATGCATTTTTAGCTTACATAATGTATGAAGCATATATAAGTTTGAACCTCATCGGTCAAGGAAGGTCTGAGATATGGTAAAATGGTCGTCAATGTCCCATGTCCAAAACACGACTGCAGTCAGACAGTAATGCTTGCTTTTGATGAATCTATTGCACTGAAATGGTGAACACCTTGAATCAGATCATGACACAAATGAAAGTATCAATCTCAAGATGCATGAGGTTAGAATGTTATTCATCCAGACACGTCTGAGATAAAGGTGCAGACAGACACGCACATAGGTTAAATTAAAAGTCCATGATTTAGGCTTAGTTTGACCATCAATGACTTACTTACGAGATGAAAAAATGATTGACTTACCATGTTGCTGTGGCTAGATTTTATATCCTGGGTGTATGAAATGCAAAGTATGGCTGATGGTACCAATATATGTATGAACTAAAATGATATGAAGATGAGGCAATAATGAAGAACTATAAAGACAGATATGAGCTTCATTATTATCCTTGATACATATAAAATTCTATTAGTCACATAGCAGCATTATCATATTGATACCCAGTCCATAGCTATTCTGTGGTTCATCTGCATATACTTTCTGAACCACGATTTAACAATATCACTCAAAGGTGCAAAACGTTTTAGTAAAAAATAAAGTACATTAGTGTATTGTGTGATATAACACTCATTGTCTTAATTAGTGCTAATAACAAATTTTGGTTTACATAGGAAAAACAAATCCAAACTTTAAAACTGTTCACAAAGACAATTTGTACATTTTTAATACAGTCGTAAGAGAATGTATCTAAAGAGCTTGGAGGTAGTGTAGGGGGCAGTATCCGGGCTGAAAGAAACCTGGACTTTCGACATGTATTTATGCGGATTCATATGAGAGATAAATTGACTGGATATACAGACAAGACTAGATTGTAAACATTGGTAATGTGAGTTCTATTAACCATATTAGCATCTAGGAATTATGTGATTGAAACTTACCATCATCAATGACATTTTCTTCATTATCTTTCTTTTTAGATTGCATCATAACAAGCTCATAATACAGTCCCTGCTTTGCCATCAGTTCATCGTGTGTACCTTCCTCCACTATAATACCATCTTGCATTGCACAGATCTTGTCAGCATTACGTATAGTAGACAATCTATGGGCAATCACCAAAGTAGTTCTTCCTACACTGGCCTATGGTGAGAGACAACCCATGAACAATCACCAAAATAATTCTCCTTACACGAGCGTTTAGTGAAAATATAATACATGATGAAGTATGGTAGATATTCTATGGCCAATTATGAAGGAGGCTCTCCATACAATGGTCTATGGCAAAAATATAATGCTTGATGCTCTATGCTAGACATTCCATGGTCAATCGCCAATGTGATTTTTTGTACACTGGTCTATGATGAGATTATAATGCATACTGCTGTATTTATTGTAATCAATCTGTGGCCAATCGCCAAGGTGGCTTTCTATACACTGATATAGTGTGGTAAAATATTTTACTATGTTGTATAATAGACACTCTATTGCCTATTCCAAAAGTGATTCTCTTAGACTGGTCTGCTGTGAGAGACAAAGTAAAATTCCATGATATAGTATAATATACATTCTATGACCAATCCCTAAAGTGGCTGCCTTTATATTGGCACACTTACACATGGCAAAAATATAATACAGTATAGTAGATAATCTATAGCCAATCACAAAGATATTGTACTGGCTTAAAAAAGCTAGAATTACCTTATCCAATGCAACTTGTACAGTTGCTTCACTTTCTGTATCAAGTGCTGAAGTCGCTTCATCTAATAACAATATTTTAGGATCTCTGACCAATGCCCTAGCAATAGCTATTCTCTGTTTTTGTCCACCAGATAAAGCAGCTCCTCTTTCACCAACAAGTGTGTCATAACGCTGTGAATGAAAATAAGAATTGGTTATCGTGTATCCTACATGTACAGAGTTCCATACAGTATAAGTCTTGTGAAAGTGAATAGCGAAGTTTTTGTAATAATTTGAAGCCATTGACATAACATAGTAAACCTCACATCAGGTAATTTACATATGAACTCATATGCATTTGCTTCTTGACAGGCTCTCTCAATTTCTTCCATAGTTACATCTTCTCGGCCATATCGAATGTTTTCAGCAATTGTGGTTCCAAAGAGAACAGGTTCTTGACTAACAACACCAATATGATTACGCAACCAGGTTACATTCATATCTTTGATGTTCTTTCCATCTACTTTAACCTGATCAAATAATGCATAGTTCAGTATTAGAATAATACAAACACCTATTCCTTCACATTTAAATACCAAATCAATCTACACAATTGTTTCCATAATTTGCGAGATAAGGCTCATGAAATTAGGCTCATGATTTTCAAAGAAATTATTGAAAATTCACATAATAACGTATGAGTAAAATCATAGATACATCCACTATATTTGCAGTTATACATGTGCAGCTGTATTATTGCCATAATAGATAGACCATTAGTATTAGATATTATTATTACATGATACAGATTTGAGAAATTACAGTGGCACCATGGTTCAAGTGAAAATTGTGTACATTTGAAGTTTTGTAATATAATATTTTCAATTCCTAATCAATGTGTTAATGTCAAATTCAACATAAAAAATATAATTAATATATAATAACAATAATTAAAGACTTACACATCCTTTCATGACGTCATAGAATCGCTGTATTAATTGGACTGCAGTGCTTTTACCACTTCCACTTGACCCAACCAATGCCACCGTTTGACCAACATCTATGGTCAAACTAATACCTTTGAGAACCTAGAACAGAACAGAAAATAATACAAATGTATATCATAAGATGCACCATACAAAATTATACAACCACCAAAGTAACAACTGATGGGAAATCAACTACGAGACACTTTCCTATATGGTCACAAATGTAACAACAGATGACTACTGAAGACAGATAATCAGTAATATGTTTCAATTGCACATACAGTGGAGTAAATGCTGTGAACCACTATAATATCATGTGAGGAAATTCAAATATTTTGTAGCACTGAACAAAAATGTCACATTTGACAGCAGCTAAGTCATAATGGTCATAATTTGTTTGTGAAACCACCAGACCTGTACCTAACACTAAGTATAAATAAAATGGCCAAACCGCATAATGAATATGGCCTACAAACATTCTGTGACACTATAGAAACCCATATAGTTCAAAATTCATACTTGGGGATTCTATTATATAAGTCGATGTTTCAATGCACCTGAATATCTGGTCTTGATGGATATTGAAACTCCACATCCTCCAATTGAACGTTTCCTTCTATTTTGGGTCTGTCACCTTCCTTACTGCTGCTATCAATGGAGGGATCCTGAAAACCAAAACACAATTATAATGAACTCTTGAATGCTGAGAGTGTTAGTGGCATTTGAAAAAGAAATAGAACATATTGAAAAATTAATTAAATATGTAAGATTAGTGAATTAAACAAGACGTTTGTGATACAAACAAAAATAGAAATATTAATTTAAAGTTAAAGGAATAAATTGGATTGTACATCAATAGTTTGCAGATTGTGGTTTGACCCAGAGCACCTATGTACCAAGTTTCATTCTGGAGATGTTGATGCTGATTTATGCAAATCAAGTAATTAGTATGCATAAATGTCAGCCCTATACTAATCAAGCATGTGTAGTATCCCAGACAACCTATGTACTAAGTTTCATTTAAATCTTATATGTGGTTATTGAGATATCAGAAAGTTAGCAAATTACGTTAATACTATCCATAGATTTCAATCCTAAGCTAATCAAGATTGTTGATTAACCCAGAGCCCTATACATTTTATTGAGCAGTTCTAATTTTATTGAAATATAATAGTCAGATTGACACAGTACTGTAAACTACTTTATTTTTCCTGGAATTAATTTTCACTGAAAAGGCTTTTGGGATTTTTTGTATGGAATTTATTTTCACTGATTTTTGATTTTTGATGAGTTGAATGTGAAATATAGGAAAAAAGGTATATTCGCTGGATTTTATTTTCACTGAATCAGCCCTTCAGCGAAAATAAATTCTAAGTGGAAATAAAGTTATTTACAGTAAATGGCAGTTAGTGTTAAAAAACAAACAATTAACTATAAATTTGTCATTCTACAACGTGGACAAATTCATTCATTCAATCAATTATTCATTCAATCAATCAATCAATCATACATTCAATTATTTATTTACTCATTTCATGGATCACATTTTTCATTTCCCTCATTCGATGGGAAGCTACACTAATTTGGTAGTCGATAGAGGATGTGAATGAGCAGTTGGTGGAGTGACCAAAACCTCAACCTTCTTGATGCAAAATAGACACAATAAACACTGCACCAATATTGTAATATTGCTCATTCGTGAAACAAATCTGGCATTTACCTGATCTATTATGCTCCATATAGTATAAGCAGCACCTCTAGCTGTGGCAATGTCACCAATAGCCGGGGCAGCATTACCAAGGGAAAATGCTCCAATCAAAACACCAAAGAACACCTGGCAAAAAGACAATTCACAATAGCAATAAATACATTGTTTAATCTGCATTTAAGCTTTAGATACAGAAATGAATGAGAGAATGTCAAGGTGTCTTCACACTAGCATAACCAAAAGCTAACTAAATGTTTCAAAACTACATAAAGCATATTTAAAATCTATCAAGTCAAAATAACAAAAATGAGTATCTGTTCACCGAGTTAGCATAATAATACATATTCACATTTTGTCTGAGATTGGGCTTATGCATGTTTGTCTCATTACTGTGAGAGTGCATTTATTAAAATGCTGTCTATGGTTGGTGACAGTGGGTACTGGCGTGCATGTCTGCAGTGACAAGTGTATT